GCCCGGCCCAATTTTACATGGATCCGAATCTTTGTGACCAGATCCAACACAAAATCCATTTTAGTATCCAAGCCCGGTCCATATTGGGCCAGTCCATGGATGCACCATGGATAGTCTAGCCCATGCGGAACCCTAGTAATTATATATTATTTCAAATTTATAATTTTATACTTACAATCTAATAATTTAATTATATTTATAATTAATTAGATAAGATTTACTTAATTATATATTATTTAATTTTGTTATTTCAAAATTATAAAATATTTTTATACAGTCAACCCCTCTATAGTTACAAAATCAATATAATTACAAACTTATTTTTACTAATTATTTATAACCATATAGAAAATAACTCTATTATTCACACCTCTTTATAATCATGACTTTGTATCCCAAATGTGTGACTATAGAGGGGTTGACTGTATTTACTGTCTAATAATTAATTATTTATAATTGATTGATCAAATAAGATTTATTTAATTATATATTATCTCAAATTTGTTATTTAAATATTGTAAATAATTTTATACTTACTAACTAATAATTTAATTATTTACAATTACAGTAATTGATTAGATAAAATTTATTTAATTATATATTAATTAAAATTTGTTATTCAAAATCATTAAATAATTTTATATTTACCACCTAATAATTTAATTATTTATAATTGAATAGATAAGATTTATTTAATTATATATTAGTACAAATTTGTTATATTTAAAATTTGTTATTTCAAAATTATTAACAAATTTGTTATATTCAAATTTTGTTATTTCAAAATTATTAAGTAATTTTATATTTACCTCCTAATAATTTAATTATTTATAATTAATAAGATTTATTAATTATATATTAGTTCAAATTGTTATATTTAAAATTTGTTATTTCAAAATTATTAAAAAATTTTATATTTACTGCCTAATAATTTAATTATATATTAGTTCAAATTTGTTATTTCAAAATTATAAGTTTGTAAAATACTCACGAACTGTTAATTTAATTATTTATAATTAAAATTGATTTAATTATATGTTATTTCAAATTTGTTATTTCAAAACAACAATACTATAGCATGCCAACACCATATGCAGCATAATATGAAGATCATTATCAAAATAATAACAAAATAAAAATAAATCAAAATAAATTTAACAAATATTAAGTTAGAATTATTAGTTAGAGATTAGATCCCTACAAGAAAAATGTACAGATTGGCACGGGTTGATTTCAGATAGGCATGGGTCTTTGTAGCATGGATCAAGACCTATATTTGTATGGTATAGTTCGAGTTGGTACAGATTCATTAGACCATGTAGAACTATACACCAGTGCCAATTGAACCATAAGTGGCTCGGGTTTGCAGCAGTTTACTAGTTAAATCAGCATGAAATTTGGCACAGATAATAACATGTCTTTCAAACATACCACCTCGTATAATGTATCAACATGTGCTACAGAAAGCATACTATTAAAAACATTACTGAAACCACCATGTGCCATCGCCGGACCACTTTTCTTATAGGAAATGGTGTATAATAGTTAAATTTTATAAAATATTTTATTAACAGTTAAAGTGTGGTTTTATAAACAAACTTTTGAGTTATAAAACTTTTTTTAAAAAGAAATAACCAAACCAAAAAAAAAAATTTATATTACATCTGATCTTCACATTACACTGCATTTAAAATTTTGATTGCTGAAAATCACTGTGGTGAGGAACACCAGTAATGTGTTTAATAAACTTATTTCAAAATTATTAAATATTTTTATACTTACGGCCTAATAATTTGATTATTTATAATAGATCGATTAGATAAAATTTAATTAAGTATATATATAATTTAAAATTGGTTATTTCAAAATTGTTTAAATAATTTTATACTTACCGACTAGTAATTTAATTATTTATAATTGATCGATTAGATAAGTATATATAATTTAAAATTTGTTATTTCAAAATTGTTAGATAATTTTATACTTACTGACTAATAATTTGATTATTTATAATTGATCGATTAGATAAAATTTAATTTGTTATTTTAAATTGTTTAAATAATTTTATACATAATTTAATTATTTATAATTGATCGATTAGATCAAATTTAATTAAGTATATATAATTTAAAATTTGTTATTTCAAAATTGTTAATAATTTTATACTTACGTGCTAATGATTTGATTATTTATAATTGATCGATTAGATAAAATTTAATTAAGTATATATAATTTAAAATTTGTTATTTCAAAATTGTTTAAATAATTTTATATTTACCGGCTAATAATTTAATTATTTATAATTGATCGATTGGATAAAATTTAATTATGTATAATTTAAATTTTGTTATTTCAAAATTGTTAGATAATTTTATACTTACTGACTAATAATTTGATTATTTAATTATTTATAATTGATCG